TATCCGCGAATATCCGGAAATAGTGTTTTTTTTTTTTTTTGGACAAACCGGAAATAGTATTTTAAAATCTTAAATTCATTAATATCATACTTAAAAAGCTTTAAAAATTCACAAAATAGCTAGAAGTTGATTATATATACAAAACATTACAAAAACAAAGAATTTATTAAAGTAGCAAAAAGTTTAAAAGATTTAAGTGATGTTCTTAAAAAAAAAGACATTAATCAACTTCTTAAATCCTTCTTAAAATTTTATTTTTATTTTTTGTCATATGATTTATTTATTAACATTAAAAATAAAATAAAAAAAATTAAAAACTTGGCCTTCCAAACTTTTTGGGGCTTTAACACTTGAAAAATGGACTCATAAGGCATTTAAGGTTTTTTTTTTTTTTTTTTGCCAGATATCCGTTATCCGGCCCAAATTTTTGGATTATTCGTATCCGGAATATCCGTCATTTACTATCCGTATCCGTATCCGTTTTGTCGGATATCCGTTTTTTCGGATCAAAAACCGGATACGGATAACGGATATAAATCTCAGGCCTAGTCTAGACATCATACCGTCATATACATATCACACGTTTACATACCCAACTACCAAGGGGTTCATGATGTGCATAAATTATCCTTGAGTTATATGGATGCATGTCTGAAGCTCATATTGTCTAACACATTACCAGCGGCTTTAACACATTGTTTTCATTAGAGATATCATTGAAGCTGGTGAAGTTGAAGTCCAGAAGATTCACACCTCAAGAAATCCTGCAGATATGCTTACAAAATGCATACCAGTTCACAAGTTTGAAGCAGCTTTGGATCACCTAAAGCTACTCAGGTAATTCTTGAAAGACTAACATCTGAAGGTTAAGTTCAAGAAGTGCAGTTCACTAGAGAAATGATGAAAGTTGAATCAAGGTGGAGTGTTGTGGTGTTCAGTTCTGATTCAACTTTATAGGTGATTGGTTTAATCGCTTGGTTCAGCAGAATTGGTAACCGGTATTGATGGAGTTAATTGAACTAGGTTTGAGGGAGTCAGAGGAAACCTTCTTTTCGCGAGAGAGGGTCTTCTGTTTCACGGGGCTAGTGTAATGCCCCGACCGTCTCTACCAGTAAGCACCCACGTCATTTCTCAGGTCCGTGGGTCCCACCACTGTCTGACGGTCGGTCTGCTACGTTTGGGAGGCTTTAAAGACTTGTTTACCGACCATACAAATTACCACATGATCTTTCCCTGTGTTTTGTCCCCACTCACACAGTTCTAACAATCACTTGCCGGAAGGTCACTCATCCTGAAATTGCTCCACCTCAAGCACCCTTATCTGTGAAATTCTCTCAGGATAGTTGACCGAAAAGATAAGTGCACTTTAGTGACATAGGTGGCCAAATCAATCCTTTTAAACCTTTTTGCATGCCCTACCATATTTTTGAAACCGAGGTGTTACAGCTAGCGACATATTTGTTTTGGATGACATATTTTTTTTGTTCAAGACATATTTTGTTATTCAGTTTTTTATGGTCCACAAACTTATTTGAATAAGTTTATGAGAGATTTATAATTTTTTTTGGAGAACGATCGAGACACTGATTGAAGAATTATGAGAGAACGAGAGAGATGTCGATTGAGAAACAAAAAAGAACTAGGTCGAGGGAAAGGAGATTTTTTGGGACAAAATCCTAGTTTAATCGCGGTTAACAATACGATTGCGTTTAAAATCCGTATATTCTATCGAAAGCCCAATAAAATTAAGCAGAAGCTAAATTACGTTTGCCAGTTAACATAGCATAGCGTTTGTTTTCTAGAAACGCTATAACATAATTGGACAAACCTAAACTATGGTATAAACATTTAAACCGTTATCTTGAATTGCAATTAATATGGCTTTTCCTGTAGTGACATCTTTTTTTTGCTATTTCGTTGAAGACAGAACAAGTCGAGGTTATTGCAAAATGAATTCTTATTGAAAGAGTCGATGTGAACCATCTGAATTTCCTCAAGCAACTATTGGTTTATGCAAGACGCATACTTGGTTCTAGAAATCTCTGTTGTTGTATTTTTTTTATTAATTCTCTCAATAATCAAAAATCATATATATGAAAGGAGGCTATCTCTCTCCATCCTTCCGCCACGTCAGCATTTTTGGCTCTTCTGGAGATGACACATCAGCTTTTTATTCGTCCAATCAAAACATTTCATTAATATACATCAGCTTCTAATTATAAGTGTCAAATGGAAAAACAAAATAGCCCATGAGAGATGGACCATATGTGTTTTAGAATCTATTAGAGTGTAATATTTATGAGTTGAGCCCATTTAAACAAAAAAAAGGCTTAATGCTTCTAAATCCAACAAATATTCTAATTCCCCACAAGACTTTAACAAAATAAATCTCTCCCACTCTCTGCTCGATCATTCAATATGAAAGAAGAAGGATCTCAAGGCAAATTTCTCGACTTCGTAAATTCCATCCTTCATAGTCTCCCTTTATGTACATCATATTTATTTAGAACAAACATTTTCTACCTTTTAACTGCCAGAATGGAGGCCACGGTAGAAGTTACACAAAAACATATTCACACTCTCAGCTTATGGGATTACAAACTTTCACTACTATAAACTCTATAAATACTCAAACAGACATTGTTTATACCGGATTATATGTGTTTCAGACAACATCAGTAAATGTTTACCAAGGTGTAAGGAACATAAAAACGATACAGAACCACCATCATGTACAACCTATATGGGAATTACAAAATGAAAACATCAGATACTACTCAAGTTGACAATATCGATATACACAACATTGAATAGCTACTCACCTGAATTATAACTGAGGTGGTGGTATTTGGAACAACTGTCAAACACACAAATACTCTGTAGCGTCCTTTTCAGTATCGTTTCATACTCCCTTTCATCTTTTCCTATCAATATTCAAAGCAAAAGTAATTCAGATCTAAAAACCAAGAATCACCTGTACGACATACTCAAGCAACAAAACAAGCCTCCTTTTGAACAACTAAGCGCGCATTTACGATTACCAATCTATCCGGTTTAAGGTTTCCATATGACTTCAAAACAAGCCTTCTCAGCATTTTCGTTCTTCTTCGTTCCTGCTTTAGGTCCGTATTCTGCAGGTATAACTTTTGTATCCCTGAAAATATAAACGAGAGAGTTCAATGAATCTCATTCAAAAATGATAAAAAAAACTTTGTACCCATAATAGATATTGAGAAAGCTTATAAAGTACCTTCTGACCAACTAGCAGAGCCATGAGGACGATGAAGGATATTACGGGAACAAGCAAGAGGTCTCAGCTGACAAGTAAGTCTTTTTCCTGGGTTATATTTCAAGTAAAAAAATAGATCTTATCTTAAAAATTGTAACTACATAAGAAGATTTAGTTTTATTACCTACATAATAACAAATAAAAAATAAACATAAATTAGCAAGAACAATCAATAATTTTTTCTTCACAATTTTCAAAATAAATCCACGCGTAGCGTTGATATTCATCTAGTAGTTACAATTTTTGTTGGATTTATATATATATATATATATATATATATATATATATATATATATATATATATCAATATGAAAAAATAAAGGGAATATAGCTTTAAACAATCTTTTTATTATATAAAAAAAATCTGTTAAATTAATATCCATATGTTTTTAGAAATTGTTTCATTCTTTTAAAAATAGATCAATTCATGAATAAACATTAAGCTTTTTTTTTTTGTGTGTCATCCGAAATTAATTATCGCTCAAAAGAGCCATTCCTGAGGAATATTGTTTATATATGTGATATGAAGCGGTTCCGTACGAACTTTTCATGCCAATTATTGGCTTTTACATTAGCACTACGAGAAATTTGAGATAGAGAAAATGTTGAGAATTCTTCCTTGTCGCTCTGGAACTCCTCCAAATACACTGAAAACGTCGGCTATTCGGTTGGAGAAGACATCTTCACCAGGTCTGAACAATGTGTATAGAACGCTACCTCTTGGTTATCTGCACCAATCATACACTTCATTGCCTAAAGAAGGGTCTCGACTTCTGTATGTAGAGGAGATAGACTTCTACGGAGGTTGGCAGCTCCCATGGTTGGTGGTTCTCCACTTGATGATGTACAGTACCATCATGTACCAGAGAACTTATCACTTTCTTTCCATGATCCATCCACAAAACAAAGGTATCCTGAGTAATTCCATTCAAGTGAAGCATCCCTCACTCGAGATCAAGTCACCAAATCCATAAAGCCTTGATTCTCATTAATAAGCTCTATTTGAGCTGACTGCCACAAATGTGCCTCTTTTTCCGCTAACAGTAAGACCTCTAGTGGGTCATTGTCTATATTTCCAAATATTTTTTCATTACGTGCTTTCCAAATATACCAGATAATCCAAGGGAAAGCTTATGAATCGAATTCCGATGGTATTCTCCAAAATAAGTGATCCAAATTCGTAAAAATAGAATTCGTGGGAAAAAAGTCCCATGACCGTAGGAATCTGTGAAAACGCCCAAATCTGTCGGGCCGGATGGCACAGAAAGAGTGTGTTATTGATCGTTTCCTCTGATGAGCCACATCGGACACATCGTGTATCACAATCATTCTACTTTTCCGCAAATTCGCCGTAACCGGTACACATCCCATTAAAATTTGCCACAAGAAATGGCGTACCTTAGGTGGACATTGCACTTTCCAAGAATATGCTTTTAGCGATATGATGTCCTGGCCCATAATTAAGTTTCTTTTTTTTTTTTTTTTTTCTTTCTAAAGTGAAGTGATCTATTTGTTAAAAAAGTTTGATCTTTATTTGTAAAGTGATCTATTTGTAAAAGAATGAAACAATTTCTAAAAACATATAGATAATAATTAAACATTCCTTGGCTAATGAAAACAAATTTACCTCTAAATTTTGGTAGTCTAAGAAAAAACGAAGGTGGATCGTTTGACGAAACTAACATCAAATATACTAAATAACACTTTAGAAGATTCAGTATTGTTATATAATTTTTTTGTATGTACCAAATTATTGTTATAGTTGAAAAAGTTATGAGCATATTTACAATGTAATGCGACATTTCTCATAAAAATAATGAAAGAAATCATGATTATCCGGCACGGTTGCACCGGGTAAGCTTGGAGCATCCAGCTTTATACTCATTAACTCGCTCTTTAGGTTTCCCAGCTGATCCTGGGGCCTGACACCCTGCTGGTGGATTAGGACGCAAACACGGATCAAGCACCCCTGGATTTAAAAATTTACCCACACCAGCAGCTAGCGTTGGCTCCATCATCATGAAAATGCTTATTACCATCAAACATATCACCCAAGCCTTCATTTTGACTTGATGTTTTTCTTTTATTCCCTTGTAGTTTATATGATTCTGAAAACGACAAAGCGAGGAATTATTAACAAAACGAGCAATATAAATTTATCTTTATATGTATTCAAAGAGGAAATTAGATTAATATAGATTTTAACACCATCTTAACACCACACAATCTACATTTGTTATTGTTTTAGATAAAAAGAGAGACCAAAAGCAACCTCACAGATTAGTTAAATATTCTAATTTGGGATCACTAATTTGAGAGGTAATTTTTTTGTAGTCTAATTTGGTAAAACCTATGTTAAGATCAATTTTCTCAATTCGTTTATCTTTATCTTTGTTTGAATTTCTTTTCTTAAAAATTTGAATCGATCTCACTATATATCGTTAGTGACGAGTGGTATTCGTTTTCAGGTTTTGAAAACGTGATTTTGGTATTTTTACCATGTAGAACATTCATAAAATTTTCATGTTTACAAACGTGATTCCGCTATATAAATTATGTGTGTTAAAATTTTCCTCACTTAAACCTCTTCTAGAAGAGAATAACTTTTTTGAACATAAAAAAAAAAGAGATGAATTTGCTAAAACATCTATAATCTTAATTTTAATTAGTCATGCCTAATCGAGCTAAATTAACAATTAAATTAACAATTTTAATTTGTACGATAAGCTTTGATGATTTGTTGTTCATCCGTGCAAACTTTCTACTTCGTATTAGTCAACACTATTGTAAATTTGTAGTTCCTTGTACTTATATACATGTTCCATATTTCGATTTGACCAAACTTTTCTCAATCTCGACATTAACTGCTTAAAAAGGTTTCAACTTCCAGCTTTTTTTGATAATTTTCTTTTCATTTTCCAACTTGGCTTAGATGAAGCATTAAAAATCTCGAATCGTCTTTTGAAGTCTATTACATTGATTCATAGCTCCACACACAAGTTTACATAGAATGTCTTTTACAATTTATAATATTGTAGATATTATATATTAATTTTGTCAATCATGTTGTATTAGTACCTGCAAAACATCCAATATCTCGAGGTTGAGTATATTCGAGCAGATTTCTTCCATATTTTCATCAAATGATTTCATTACTTGAGACAAGCCTTCGATTTCATGTACATATATATATTAAGTGAATATTAGGTACATATGAGATCATCTAAAGCTCAACATGCTAAATTGATAAACTCAAAACGAAGTTTTTCTCTTTACTAAATCATCCAAAAATGTAAATATTGGTTGATTTATGTGTGTAAAACTTACTTGAACCGTACAATTTTCTTCTTGGTTTACAACTACCATTCATCCCTAAAATATTTAACAACTATATATACATATGTATCTCTCTACATACATCATTTTTAAGAACAGCCCTAACAACATCTTGAAACTACTTTAGATTCCAGTTCAAGTTACTTTGTATTTTACCTTTCTCCTCTTCCAATCAACTCCTTATTATACACCTTCCAAATGGCCTTTCATACTCTCAATATTACCACTAATTTTCTATTTAATAGCAATATGATTTATTGTTTTCTCTTTTGAATTATGAATCTAACGTTATACTAGATAATCTGTAATGTCCAAAATTTTTTTTAAAAAAAATTACTAAGAATAAAATACTAAACTTTTCATAATGTATAAAGTATGAAATCTCATCATTATCTTATTCTGAGAAACAAAACAAGTTAAATGTAGGAAAATCTACCAAGTATCTCTCTATGACCGAAATACAGATTCTAAACTTCAGTTGCACTTTGCTCCTCCTCAAAGTTGTCTGCAAAGAAACCAGAACTTATGTTAGCGAAAAAAAAATCGCCTAATAAGACCACAAACCTACCAAACAAGTACCAACAAGTTTTCCCGCATAAAAAAATGCTTCTGTGATGGTACTAACGAACATAAATCCAATTCAATTAATTATAAATAAAATAAATCACATCATAACATATATTAATAGAAATATGTAATCAAATGATCTGAACAAAATGACAGAGATCTGCGAATACACACCAGAATGGTACAACCCCAACATTGGTTGACCAAGACCATATGCTAATAGAATATATACATAATATACTCGATATGGATGTTGGCCATTAATGAGGTGATAAGAAAGTACGATCCACATTATTAACCAACCTCAATACCATTAACAGAATACATAATACATTTGTTGGCGATGCCGTCCACCACATATTGCTTAATATAGCCAACTAAATTAGAATAGCATATTGATACTTGTCTTAACATAATAACATATTTTCTTCTCCAAAATCATATCCATAATAATTATTAAAACAAACAAATTATTTTTCAAAATTTCACATTTAATTAATTTAACTAATCATTTTTTCACTCCTAAATATATTATATAATTGTTATAATAGCTAAAAAGGGAGTTATAATACCAATTGTTTATTTGAAGGTAAGCCTCCGCCGGTGCAATGGGGATGCCGCCGCCCCTAGTGGATAGTTCATCGTCACCTCCTCACGTAAGTCTCGCGCACACGACCCCGCTCTCTCAAAAGGAATCGTGGACATCAGTGGTTCAGGAAGTTCTAGCTTCTGGTGTGAAGGTTCAAACAGATTTTGTTGTTACTAATGGTGTGGCACGGATCTCCATCCCTAAGGAGATTTTGGTAGATGCGTTGCCATTGTGGAAGAATTTTATCGTCGGGCACTTCATGGGAGATGTCCCTCACGTTGGTACAATTCACACAACAGTCAATCGCATTTGGACTATCTTGGACAAATCGGCAAAGATTGATGTGCAGATCTTTAGCAAGACTGCGGTACTGTTCCGCGTTGCAAACGCCAAAACCCGTGAACGTATCCTGAAAAGGAAGTACTGGCATATCGCTGACATACCTTTGGTTGTCAGTGAATGGAACCCTGAGGCTGCACAAGCTCCACCGGATCTCTCTGCGATGCCTATGTGGATAGATTTACGGGATGTTCCAGGCTACATGTTCTCTCATCAGGGATTAGAGTTGCTATCTAGTACTGTGGGATATTTTGTGAAGCTTCATCCCAAAACAGAGCATTGTCTCCGTCTTGATGTGGCTAGAATCTTGGTTGAAGTTAATCTACAATCTGATTTGACTGAAAAGATAAGTTTCACCAATGAGAAGGGAGAAGAGATGTTAGTTACTGAGTTATCCATGGCTACCTCCTAAGTGTAAGCTATGTTCCATCTGGGGACATAAAGAAAAGGATTGTACTAGGGCTGAGAAGGTGAAGATTTTAGCAGAGAGTCCGAGAAGAGAGCCTGAAAAGAGTAAGGAAGAGGGAACTAGTGCAAACACCACAGTGCAGTAACTTGCTCAACGCCTGCTTCAAGATCTCGAGAACACTACTCCGTTGCATCCAAGTAACACCAAGAGTGTTGAGATGGTTGAACACTTGTCGGTCCAATCGGAAGAGAAGGATCAATAACAACAATGGACTGTTGTGAGGAGAAACAGTGGGAGTGCGTCTCTATCTACTTCAAAAAAGGCGGAAGAGCCAGTCGCAAAGTCTGTCTCACCAAGAGGTTTCCGTGTCCTGCAAGTTGAGGGGGATGATGAATCTCAGGCCCATAACACGCAAGTTCCGGATTCGCAAATTGACACGGGAAAGCCAGTTGTGGAAAACAATATTGTGGAGGAGAAAGAGGAAGGCGAGTTAGTAGAAACTGAGCATGGTGAGAAGGTTGAAACTGAGAATCAAGAGGAGGGTTTGCAGGGTGTGAACACTTCTTTTGATACTGAGACAACAAAGAAAGCCAAAGGAAAGTCGAGTCGTAACCGTAGCTGTTCCAGGGGACTTCCTAAGGCCATTACAAATCGACTAGCACCAGGGGCCAAAGGACATAAAAATACTTCCTCACGGAAGTAATGACGTCTTTTTTTTCATGGAACATTTGGGGGTTCAATATGCCTCGCAAACACGATGCAATTTGTAATTGGATTCAAGCAGTAAGGCCGGCTTTTGGATGTTTTTTGGAAACTCGGGTGCAAGAGAATTTCTCAGACTCTATCATTAGTTCAGTTTTGCCAGGCTGGTCTTCAATCACAAATTATGATTTTCATAGGCTGGGACGAATATGGGTTTGCTGGAACTCTGATGTTTCGATAACTCCTATTCTCAAGAGTGCTCAACATATTTCATGTCATGTTACGGTGGTCAGTTCCGGAGTTCACTTCCTCTGCTCCTTTGTTTATGCCTCAAATTTTGTGGTGGATCGTAGAACCTTATGGGCTGATTTGTGTCATTTAAAATCAACGTCTTTGCAACCTGACCTGCCATGGATAGTCTTAGGAGATTTCAATGAAATTTTATCTATGACGGACCACTCTAGAGCACTGGATTATGCTTTCAACACAACAGGGATGAGAGATTTTCAGAACACGGTCTCTTTTTGTGAGCTTGGGGATTTGTCTTCTGCTGGCCCTAAGTTTACTTGGATTAATAATCAGGATTCAAACCCTATTGGTAAGAAGCTTGATAGGGCGCTTGTTACATCGGATTGGCTCCAATCTTTTCCCCACTCTTACGCGGGTTTCGAAGCGGGTGGTACGCGAAACCTGCGTTTTGCAACTAAACTTTGCGACTGAATTATTGGTCGCAAATGGTTGCGACTATTTTGTGACTTCTGAACGACCATTTAGCGACCACAATATTTACCGATGGAATATAGTCGCTATTCCGCGACTAAAACAAATAGTCTATACTTGGTCGTTAATTTGTGACGCTTTTAAGACCGATTACAGACTAATTTATTATAGTCGCAAATGGGTGGCTGATATGCGACTGATGTGCGACTCAACTTTTGATCTCAAATGATCATCGCAATGTAGTCTCAAATGTGCAACTAGTTAACAACCACTTGTTATAGTTACACTTTCGTTGCAAATTAGTTAGAAAGAGTTGGTACAAAACACGTTAAAAATGCAGCGATAGCGACCGGTTTGCAACTAGCACCTGAGGATTTTGCGACTGACACCTGATAAAGCGACCAGTTTGCGACTATTTACCAACTCTCGATTTTTGTTTTCTCAATTTTCACATTTTAAATTTGTTTGCATATAAAGTTAAAAACTTAACCAAAGACATTAATATTGATGTTTAAAAACAAAACATTCAAAACATTCAAATCTCTTTGTCTTGTTACATTACTCTTATGAGTAATGTTTAGAGATTTAGTAAAATATCTATATAACTTGAGTTTTGCAAAAAAAAATCAACCTTAAACTAATATATGTCCTCTATAACACTAATATGAGTGTTTTTGAGTGATATATATCACCATTTTGGATCATTATGTGTAGATTTCTAAATTTTATCTTGTGACTAATCGATATCAGTCACAAGACAGTCGCAAAATTGCCACCATTTTGTAACTATTACTAAGTTTGCGATTATTTTGCGACAACAGTTGTAACTATTTCCCGACCAATGGTGCGACTAATTTGATACTCTTATGAGTAATGCTTAGGGATTTAGTAAAATATCTATATTACTTGAGTTTTGATAAGTTTTTCAACCTTAAACTAATATATGTCCTCTATAACACTAATATGAGTGTTTTTGAGTGATATATATCACCATTTTGGATGACAATGTGTAGATTTCTAAATTTTGGCTTGTGACTAATAGTCGACAGTCACAAAAGAGTTGCAAAATTGCAACAATTTGTAACTATGGTTCAGTTAGCGACTATATTGCAACAATTCTTGCAACTATTTGCCGACCAATGTTGCGACGAATTTGATACTAATCGCGAAATTTCTAAGATTTTTGCTAAGTGTTTGGGCGGTTTCGATTTCCCCCCAATTTTTTTATTTGACACCGTTGTGCAACTAAATAGCGACCAAATGTGAAATTCATAAGGGTATAATGTTTAGGGATTGAGTATAAACAACGACCGTTTTGTGACTGATACAAAATAATTCAGATTTTCATCAAATATTAAGCGGGAATTTATTTCCCCCGGTCCAAAATAATTTGGTGATATAATTAAGTGTTTATTGACCCTTTACATATCTCAAAAAGCAAAAGTGTTTACACTTTCCCAAACAAAAACAAGAGAAGCCCTAGAATCTCTCTAGAAATTCTTCCTCTCCGGCGCTTCTTTTCCTCTTGTTTGCTTTCTCTCCGCCATTTCCTCTACGGCGCTCTCTTCCTCTTGTTTGCTTCCTCTCCGGCGCTTCTCTTTGGCAGATCCGGCGGTGGTGTTCAAATTAACAGTGGCGGTAGATCAAACGGAGTTGGTGGGTCGTCTTCTCACTCCTCCAACCCGTCATCTTACGAGACAGGTTCGGTTTCTCAGCCGGTGTTACCTAGTCAATATCCATCATCGTCTCAACAACGACCTCTCCGTCAGCCACTACCAGCGGCTCAAGCTTCACAACCAATGTACCAGAATCTCCATCATCAACCGCCGCCTCCTCCAAATCCGGAGCATCAACCGCCGCCTCAGGAGCCGAATCATGAGCAACAAGACTTTCAGCAGTTGTTGGATGCTTTAATGGTTCTTCCTGGAAGACAACATCTACCAATCTTGAGTCAACATGATATCCCTGATCGTGAGACTATATGGTAAGACAACATCTTCTCTTTTCCTCTTGGTATTGGTCTTTGGAGCTTGACAATTTCGATTGAGATTTATCCCTTTTTCATATTTTGAATATAAGACTCATGCTTTCGTTTCTGGGTTAAGATGAATTCGAGTTTGAATATGAGAGTAGCTAGTGATTTGATAAGACGTCAATTGCGGAAAATTTGGAGTCTTTGGGTCTTAAAATTTGGAGTCTTTGGGTCATAAATTTGGAGTCTTTGGGTATGTGATTATAAGAGCTCAAAACAAGATGCTACGAGTCTAAATCTAGAGTATGGTACTCATAAAAGTGTTATGGGTAATTGATGGCTTCGTTGTAACCAGTGATATCAAATGACAATGGATAAAGTGTGACTGTTTCATAGCTTCGTTTTTAAAGATGACATATTTCTTAAGGTAATTTCGACTTTAGTTTAATGATATTGAGTGTCTGGTTTGCTGATGTTGAGAGTCTTGTTTTCTGAGTAATATTGTCTGTTTTTCTCACGTTTATGTCTGATTTTGCTTAAGAGTAGAGTCTGGTTTTCTGAATTTCATTGTCTGGTTTTGCTCATGTTTATGTCTGATTTTGTTGATGTTCATTTTCTGGTTTTGCTTATGTTCTTTGTCTGATTTTGCTGATGTTTATTGACTAGTTTTGATTGCTCTTTTTGACGTTTGAGAGAAATTTGAGATTACTTGATGTTGATTCTCTGGTTTTGAGTAAACACTTAATTGTATTCTTGTTTCTATGTTTATAATCTTCTTTTGTTTTGATCGACTTTTTTTTACAGTTTCTCTTCTCTTTCTTTATGAGAATGAATGGTTTCTCTTCTCTTCTCTGGTTTTACAGTTTCTCTTCTCTTTCTTTACAGCTAAAAATGTTTTTGTGTTTAGTGTACTTTCACAGATAATAAGGGAAACCCCTTTCGACTTGGACAGCTGAAAGAGACGATCAAAAATGGGAAGAGAAAAGAGAGTTATGGAAGCTCTTCTTCGTCTTCACTGTTAGAGATGCAAGAAGATCTTGTAGCTGCTCGTCGTAAGCTTGCTGAAGTGGACCAAGAAAATGCTAGACGTGACGAGGAGGGACACAAAGATCAAAGTCGTATCACAAGCTTGGAGATGATGGTCTCCTACATGAGGAACAAAGATCCTGCCTTTGCAGAATTATTGGCTACTCAACAGCCAGAAGCAACCGCAGCAGCCACCTAGCTTCTCAACCACCAACAACCGCAGTCATCATACCACCCAACAGTCATCATACCACCCAGCACACAAACAGGCACCCTTCCAACAACCACAGAAGCAGCAATCCAACCAGCTGGACTCGCACCTACTGAAACCACACCAGCCTCTCCTTTATGTAACACTGATTCAAACCATATGAACTAGTCTTTTATTTGCTTATGTTTTTGTACTCTATAATACTTTGCAGGTTTGGGATTATTAACGAGTAACCAATCTGTGACCAAACTAATTAACAAATGTGACCAATGTGTGACTAAACATTATTACAAGAAACTCCAAAACGGTCGCAAACGAATCGCAAATTGGCCCAAATATGTAAGGTTATCATAGTCGCAAATGAGTTGCTAACGTCCTTTCGTTGCTCTTTGGTCGCAAATTTGCAACGATATTCACCTGTGACAGATTAGTCGTTAATTTGTGACGATATATTTATAGTCGCCAAATAGTCACAAATTAGCGACTATAATGAGACACAAAAATTTTGCGACCGTTTTTTTGCGACTAATGGAAATAGTCGTTATTCAGTTGCAAAACCCTATTTTGCGACCGTTTTGCAACCAATATGGGGGTCGCAAATGATGTGTTTTCTTGTAGTATCGGTATCTCTGATCTTTCCCGGTGCATGGTTCATCTTTCTACTTCCACTTCTCAACATCGCAAACCATTCAAGTTTTTTAACTTCTTGACTACTCACGAGCAGTTTCTCCCAACAGTACCATTCCCGTGTAGCTTTGTCTCTGTTTCACCGAAAGCTCAAATTACTAAAGTCTCATCTCAGGATGCTTAATAAGTCCAGATTTGGTGATTTGCCAAGGAAAACCATGGAGGCTTATGATTCCTATTGCACAGCTCATAACGTAGCTCTCTTGGATCCTACAGCTTCTACTTTAGCAGTCCTCTCTGAGACTTCAGAAACATGGCAGAGGTTGGCATCGTTGGAAGAGAAGTTTTTTCATCAAAAGTCACGTATCCAATGGATGAAATGTGGGGACCCGAACACTACGTACTTTCACCGTGTGGCACAAGCCAACGCCTCACGCAATGCTGTGCGGAGTTTAACTTTGGATACAGGGGCTGTTCTCACTGATTTAAATGAAATAAAGGCTGAAGCTGCACGACATTTTCGTGAATTCCTCCAAGCATAAGTAGATGATTATGAAGGTGTTTCTCAGGACTATCTCTCTGATTTACTGAATTATAGATGTTCATCGACTCAAAGCTGTGAGCTTGTTCGGCCGGTTACAAATGAAGAAATTTAGAAAGCTTTATTTTCTCTCCCTTTGGGTAAAGCTTGTGGTCCGGATGGTTACACAAAGGAGTTCTATGTGGCAGCATGGAGTATTATCGGGTATGATTTTGTTGTCGCAGTTCAGTCATTCTTCCTCTTTGGCCAAATGCCGCGGTCGGTGAACGCTACCTTGCTTGCTCTCATCCCTAAAAATCCGGAAGCTACCTCTGCTACGATAAAGGACTACAGGCCAATATCGTGCTGCAATATTCTATACAAATTGATTTCAAAGATCCTGGCTAATAGACTAAAGTTACTCCTTCCAGACTTTATTGAGCCGAATCAGAGTGCGTTTGTGAAAGGGAGATTACTGTTGGAAAATGTTCTCTTGGCTACTGAACTAGTAAAAGACTATCACAAGGACTCTATAGCTCCTAGAAGTGCAATAAAGTTTGACATATCGAAGGCTTTTGATACGGTACAAAGGTCATTTATTATGTATATATTTCAAGCTATGGGGTTCTCATAAGGTTTTTATACGGTGGATTAATGCATGCATATCTACTGCGTCATTCTCGGTGGTTGTTAATGGAGAGCTTGAGGGATTTTTTCCTAGCAGTAGAGGAATACGCCAAGGATGTTCTTTATCACCTTACCTATTTGTGATGGTCCAAAACGTTCTCTCTTGTCTTCTCAGTAGAGTAGCGTCAAGTGGTACCATTGGACGACATCCTTGTTGTGATTACCTCCATGTTACCCATTTAGGCTTCGGTGATGACATTATGGTCTTTACAGACGGGAAGTCATCTTCTTTGAAAGAGACGTTTCGGGTCTTTGGGAATTTTGCACGAATGTCAGGCTTACATATTAATGCGAATAAATCAGCGATGTATGTTGGTGGAAGGATTCAACATGATCTCCTAGAGGCAACCGCTACTCATGGTATTCTTATTGAATCTCTACCAATCCGTTACTTGGTTTGCCACTTACTACTAAATCAATGACGGCGCATGACTATGCACCTCTTATTGATAAGATTCGATCTCAACTACTCTCATGGACTAGTAAGCATTTCTCTTATGCGGGAAGACTACAATTGATTTCATCAGTCATATCTAGCATCTCTAACTTTTGGTGCTCTGTTTTTCGCCTACCAGCTCGTTGTTTTGATGAGATCGAAAGAATGTGTGGTGCATTTCTTTGGTCGGGAAATCCTAATTTATCCTCAGGTGCTAAGGTCGCTTGCACTGATGTGTGTAAACCAAAAGATGAAGGCGGGCTGGGACTCCGGCGGTTGCGTGATGTATCCCGAGCTTTTGCTTATGTCTAATTTGGCGTTTATTCACGGTGTCAGGATCTTTATGGGTGGCATGGACAAAGAAAAATCTAATGAAGGGAGGTTCTTTTTGGGCAGTTCCTATATCAACATTGGGTTCATGGATTTGGAAAAAACTTCTTAAACTCCGCGAAGAGCTTCAGCCTTACATCCGGGTAGAGATTGGTGATGGAGAGAATGCTCTGTTTTGGTTTGATTCTTGGCTGCAGCACGGTCGTCTAATTGACATCACGGGACCTCAGGACCTCGTCTCCTTGGCGTTCCTCTATATGCAATGGTACAAGAAGCCACTGGTCCTGCGGGTTGGCAGCTTCGACGTACTCGCTCAGCTCAGTTCTACACCCTTGTGCAATCCATCAGAACTACTCCTTTGCCACATGTTTCACGAGGTAAGGATAAGTTTCTGTGGAGAATTGAGACGGATGATTTTGTGGACCTTTTCCATTCCCACAAGACATGGAATCAGATTCGCGAACATCATCCTCAAGTTCCTTGGCGAAATTTAATTTGGTTTGGACAAGGCATCCCACGATGTGGTTTCATATCTTGGCTTGCAATCAGAAATAGGCTGTCTACAGGGGCAAGAATGCGGCTATGGGGACAAAATCAACCTTGTGTTTTCTGTCGTGAGAGAGATGAAACACGGGATCACTTATTTTTGGCTTGTCCATATTCTTTCACAGTTTGGTCATCGCTTGCGGGGAAGCTTCTTCGACATCACATGACTCCAGACTGGACAGACACAGTGAATGCGTATCAAAACCTCTCGGGACCACCTACGAGACATTCTTGTTCGATTGTGCTTTCAAGTGACGGTCTATATTCTATGGCGTGATCGCAACGCTAGAATACATGACAATGGTGGTATGTCTACAGCCCAGCTGATTCGTAATGTTGAGAAGCTAATCCGTAACAGGATCTCCTCTCTTGATTACCCGAAGAAACCACGGCTCCGCTTTCTACTTCAACGATGGCTTATGGTCCGGCCTTAGCTCTGTTTCATGTATTGCTCTGTTTTAGCTTAATCTTTTATTAGCTACTTACAAAACTTTTGTACATAGTTTCTTATTTTGATTTATAAATTACACATTTCAACAAAAAAAAAAGAGGGAGTTATAACTCACCTAAAAAAAATTCAAAACGTATGGGTCGTCAATCAAAATTCTACAAAATTCTCCAAACACTAATTAATCCACCAAGCAAATTTTGATCAACTTCGACTTCTGTGTGACGAGCAGTCAACATAGTTGGATTGTTATGAATAAGGTCTTTCTATCGAGCTATGGATCAAGGCCTAATTCTCTCAAACACCTGGATAACATGACCCAAGACTAGGGCACTAGCACAGAGAAACACGATCAACCAAAAATCTCAAATTAACCAAAGAATCGACTTCCAAAATTATGGGGCTTAAAACGCACATATATGTGATACTAGAGTGGAGAGATGAAGATTCGAGTTTCTAAAAACGTTCATGCGTTTTCGGAGAGATAATTCAAGTGCATCTAAGTTTTTTTTTTGCTTTTGTAGTACAATCCCTGCTTTATCAACTATTTATAGATTTTGTTTCTAACTTTTGAATCGATCAAGAATCTTCTTGAAATTAGACAGTTTCAAAAAATTTCAGATGTATCAATTTAAGCTAAATTCCGATTCGTTATTTTTCTTTTAATTATGGGTGTTGCATATTCTGAATTAACTATCTTAACTAGCATTATCACAAATATAGAATTGCATTTATCAATCAATAATTTGACTTAATGATAAAAGGGTTTTGGATATCAATCAGTTGTTCCATTTACATTCACTTGGAGGAACACGGAATCTACCCTTATCAGAACAATAATCATAGTTCATGTACTTTTGTCTCACATTTGTGTAGGCTTTCTGTTCGGAGTCACTTAACTTACTATAACTTCCGGTATTCCACCAGTACGCTGACGAACCACAAGCATTTTTCTCACCATTCGCGAAGCATCCAGAGTTATTAAAGCCTTGAAAATTGGCCTTAAATGGAGCAAAAGCCCAATTAATCTTGCTTTTACCACCGTCTGTCGCCCAGTCTTCACCGTTCCACAAGCTAACCACCACTTGCATAGGTTTTGCTGGGTAGTTCATGCCTTCGCTTGTGGTGTTCTTGAACACCCGTATTGGAATGTTGTCCACATAAAACCTATTGGTAAATCAACATGATGCTTTGTAAAATATAGAGAAAAGTTATATATAATAATATAAATAATTCGGTTTCTTAAAGGTGTAGGAAGAATTTTCTTTTTTTCTCCGTCTCTAAACTTTTCTATATATAACTCGGATTTCTTTCTCTTTAAGAAATTTCTTTTTATTTCAAATGTTTGATTAAAAAAAAAAATGTTTATCCGAAAAAAGAAGCTCAAAATCTGTTTCTGTTTATAAGATTTAAAATATTATAAAAAAAACACTATTAATTATATTTTTGTTTCTTACGAATATAATTAACCATGTATTGGATGTTTGTTTAAACGTTGTACTTGTTATGATCTAATGAAATCAAGTGTATTTTGCCCAAAAAAGCCAAAAAAAATCCTTACGATATAATTCTATGTGTAGATAAACATTAAACTTAATGAGATGTATAAAAATTAAATTTTAAACAAAATTTTCACCTTAACTATTCGATTTTTATTAG